TGCTGTGACAGCCGCTTTCTGTGCGTGTGCTTCGGATGTGTGCGCTCAGAAAACCGTAGATGTGGTTTAAAACGCATGATTTCAGCGTGATAAACATGATAATCAGAACCAAAACAGATGTTTTTAGCCGATACGAGCTGTAATGGCGCAGCTCTATTCTGGAAAAGGGGCAGTGAGCAGCAGCTCATTTGCATTTAAAGAGACAGGCCCGAAAAACAGCGTGTTTCTGCTTCCACTCAAAATAGGCATTTTCAAAATGATATAATAAATGATCTGTGGGGTATTTTGAGCTGAAACTGCACAGACACATTCTGGGGACACCAGAGACTTATATTACATATTGTAAAAAGGGGCATAATATGTCTCCTTTAATATTAACACATTTTTCTAGAAAAAAATGTCCATGACCTTCTTAGATCAACAAACTTCTTAGCAACAAACCAGCTGGTTAAACTGGTATTTGGATGGAAAATAGCTTTGTTTAAACCACATTTTCCAACAAACTTTACATTTATATGACTTTTCCGAGTCTGGAAACTTTTCCTTTTGAAAATTCCCTAACACTTTTGGGTTTTTACTGACCATGGGAATCCTGTTAATTGAGCTTAATTAGGCACCTGACCTAAATTTGTGTCGGGTGCCTCTACTTAAACTCCTACAGTGCATTTTCCCAACCGGCTAAGCGAAAAAATGGCTACATATGGTAACGAGACAGTCGATAACTATCTTTACTCTTCTTACAACCCTTATTCCTACAAATACCCCAAGTTCAAGGGCTGGAGACAGAAAGCTTACTTCGCCAACTACGGTGAAGGTGAGACCTACTACGATAATTACCACAGGGCGCAGCTGAAGTCCATCTTGTCTCAGATCAACCCCAACCTCACCCCGCGTCTGAGGAAAGCCAACACCAAAGACGTGGGGATCCAGGTCAACCCGAAGACCGACGCGTCCATCCAGTGCTCCCTGGGCCCGCGGACACTTCTGGCCCGGAAGCGTGATGCCCTGCGACAGCGGCGACAGGAGGTCCAGACCCCGGGGAGCCCCATCAGCGGCGGTGTCCGCTTCCCGCGCACTCAGGCCGTTTACTCTCCAGTCGAGTCCAGGAGGCTAGTGTCCCTCTTCAGGGAGGAGAAGGACACGGAGGCTGAGGCCCCTGAGACGGTCGACAGCTTAGAGAAAGTGGAGAGTGCTGAGAAAGACGAGCGCAAAGAGGGCGAGGAGAGCGTGAAGGAACCACTTAGTCCCGAGAAAAATGAAAACAAACCGACGGAAACAAATGAGAACAGAAACGAGCCAGAGAAAACCGGACAATTAGAAGCCAAATCCAAGGCTCGCGTGAGGTTCCAGGTGAGAAATTTTAGGGTCAATTTTTAATTTAGAAGTGTAGGTAAAATGACTGAGTTATTAGTGTATTAACTTGTTTTGATGCAGTTTTTGGAGCAGAAGTATGGTTACTATCATTGCAAAGACTGCAACCTACGCTGGGAAAGTGCTTATGTGTGGTGTGTCCAAAGCACAAACAAGGTAGGCCTAATAAATGGGTTATGAAGATTACTACATGTAGTACATGTTAAGTGGTTTGAATTTGCGGTGTTGGCATACCTAACTTTTTTTTATTTTTTATTTTTATTTTTTTTTTATAAAGGTGTATTTCAAGCAGTTTTGCAGAACATGTCAGAAATCATTCAACCCATACCGGGTTGAGGACATAACCTGTCAGGTAAACCTATAGAAGTTCGCAACCAGATGTCCTGAGGCCATCTATGGGACCTCTGCAAACTTTAAAGAGGTCTTTCAATAGAAAAAAAAAAAAAAGATCCCAAGATATATAAAACATTTAAACTTGCGCAACTTTAATTTGCCAACTGTCCTGTTTATTCTCTCTCAAGAACATTGGTCTCAAAACGTAAACTAAACTAGGAGAGTCAATGGTTTACAAGCAGCTCTGTCTTTTAATGGATTACTTGCAGATCCATTTGTTCACTGTCCTTTTTGCATTAACTAAAAGTAGAAAATGTCATTTCAGACTTGTAAGAAGACTCGCTGTACATGTTCTGTAACATCACGTCATGTGGACCCCAAAAGACCTCACCGTCAGGATCTGTGCGGCCGCTGCAAAGGCAAGCGTCTCTCTTGTGACAGCACCTTCAGCTTCAAATACATCATCTAGCACCTCGGTCCGTTGCGGTCAGGCTTTGTTGTTGCCCAGCTGGATTGTCCACCTCAGTCTCTGTACCCTCACCGCTCAGACTGCGGTGGGGATCTATCAGTCACTACAGTCTCATTTGTTTTTGTTTTGCTTTAATTTGTACTTGCAGTAACTGTGGGTGCCAATTCTGAAAAATGAAAATAAAAATGGCAATTACTAGCACATCTGGAGTGTTTTCCTTTTCTTCACTCTGAAGCAGGGTGAAGTGAATGGCTGACTTAACTTGTACAATTTTAGAAGCATTTGTGCCTACAAATCTAGCAGACTGGGTTTGATGGTTTTGACTCGGGCTGTCCAAACTCTGTCCGGAGTCTAGCTCCAACTTGCTTCAACACCTGCATGGAAGTTTCTAGTATGCCTAGATGAGTTAAATGTGATGACTGGGTGTCTTGCCCTATGTGTCCTTGACTTGCAACTTTTTCTTTTGCACTGTACTTCGTCACCTCTTCAGATTAGCACAATGACTCCTTTGTTCACTTCAGGTTTTTGGAATTTTTTTTTTTTTTAAACTTAAGGATACATGCTTGAAAAATGTGACTAACCTGTAAACATGCGTGTGATTCTATAATCCGTTACACATTTAGTCTAATTTGTGACTTGTATTGTCCGTGACCAATTCAGGTGGTTTGGTTAACTTACAGTGGGTAAGTTTAATGCTTTAAATTTTAAGGTCCATTTACAATAGTTTAAGCATCACAGTAACTTCAAATTAATGCAAAACCAGTCAGTTGTGTATTTATGCACTAAACCGTTACTTGGATAATGATTTGTGCTAAAGTTTTACACCGTCTGCACCACAGACCAAACTACAGCTGTAATAACACCGGAGTGATATTGTTGGAATTACTTTCAGAACGTCCGTCCCCCCCAGTTGATGTATAATAAAAACATTGATAGCCAATGTAAATCATACAACCTTGAGCTCTAGCATTTAAGCGGCAGCTGGCATAATTGTAGCACACGCTTATAAAATGAAAGTTATCAATTGGTGTGGATGGTAACAGTTATCGTTGGTTATTTTGCTTGATGTGAACAGGCCTTAAAGTCTGCATGAAATCAATTTACAATATTTATTTTGGTAGTGTACATTGCTTGTCTTGAGGTGAACAATTAATCTGTGCAAGTTAATCCACTGAAAAAAAAAATGGTCTTGGTAATCTTTAACCAAATGTGATAATTTGCTTCTGCTCTGGAATGGCATTCCTTCTCTGATGACTTCAATTTGACAGCTTCGGCAGAAAATCCTTAACCACGCCCCTCCAACTGTTGAGAGGAGTGCAAAAATAAAACCCCGCCCTCTATTCAATATTCAGTTTCAGTTAGAAATGTCACCATACTGAAATAAAGTCAGCAGCAACTTCTGGCTCAGGCGGACTTTAATAGAAAAGACCAGTGATGCTGGGGAAGTGAACGCATATTGAATCAACATCATCTGCTGATAGGGTTAATAACTGGATATCTACAATAAAACATTGAGATTTGTTAAAAACCATCAGGAAATGAAGAGACAAAAAGACAGCGTTGCTTATAATCAGTTTTTATTTAACAGTACAGGGAAAAGCAGATAAATCAGATGACAAAGACAAACCGGAGAGAAATGCGAAAGGGGGAGAAAGAAAAGGGGGAAAAAATGGGATAATGCACCTCTAGTTAAAAACTATATTTTTCCAGGTAAATAATATATCCATTAAATAATTAAGAACAGCATTCAAAATGTACCAAACAAGCAACAGAAGAGATCTCCCAGAGGAATGAATACAGTGAACGTTTTATTTCTCCATGTGCCATGACAGATTAAACGCCTCCCTCCCTCCCTATGTTTGCGGTTAACGCTTTCAGGACACCACTTTGTCTCTTGGAGTTCGGCAAGAGAAGCGCAGAGCCTTACGTCGCAGAGCCCACAAACCCTCAGTGCAGCCCTGAGTCTAAGGTTAAGACAGAGCCAACATGGACAAACACTAGCCCCAGTTTCCCCTCAACAGGGGCTCCAGCGGGGCCTCATTGGGGGACTTTGAGCCAACATGGAGATCACAGTGGGTATTAAGGAATGCATATGGCAAAACTCGGCCGAGAAGCCGAGCTGGTTCATCGGGAAATATTGAAGATTAAGGTGGCGTATTATCATAAAGGAGAGGGCAGCCCGTGACTTACTTACATCCCAACAGCTATTCAACTTGCTATTTTTTTTGCATTAGTCGTTACCCTCTGCTGAGCTCTCTCTGATAGAACAGTGCATTACACAAATGTACAAGGAAAAATACTGCTTTTACACTATACATTTTCTAAAATATATACAGAGTAAAATAAGTTATTGATATTTCCATGAGTTGCAGCCAGTTCGCACTTCACCTGTGCATCTCGGTTTGTTAACGTGCATGTAAGAGAGAGAACGAGTGTGCAAATATCAGTCCATGTCAAACGCACTAGCACGCAAACGCTCGCACTCGTCCTCACGCACACACACAAGAGTCTATGGTTTCCTACAGACAGCTACTTATTTGGTTATAGATTAAGGGTTTTGTAAGAGCGGCCCAGTGAAAGCTGAAAGTTCTCTGATGCAGGTCAATAAAGTTAAACAGATAAACCTCTCTTTATACGGAGGGTACAGCCCCCCAGCTTACAATTACATGTTAAATATCCTAACATTTACAACCTAAGACGGTTAAAAAATACATTTCTCAAAAAAATATTTGTTGCAGGCTTCTCTTTCAAGCATGCTTTTTGCAATCGACGATGCGACAGTCTCGCTGATCCACCGCGATACTCTGATTCTCACAATAATGCTCCAAATCCCATCTCTGCCCCAGTGCATAGTGGGGCAGACGGATGCGGATCACTCTAAAAGGACACCGCCTAGAGGTCATAGGTCATTCCGCCAAAAAGCTTCAAATTTAGCATCATTATCGCCCAGTGTCCCTCCTAATGGTTCTTGACCAGTCCTGTTCTTCGTACTTTTTCTGACACCTGGAGAAGTTAAACTACTGGAGAAAGGGGGAAGGAAAAACGTGGTACGTGCATAATAGTTTCGAGTAACTAATATCCACATATTCTTTAGCCCTTTGAGGTGAAGTCTACGTGAAAAATCTCCAAACCTGCCGCCCCGGAGGAAGAGAGTGGAGTTCGTGAAGCTCTCACAGTCCAGTGCTGAGGACTGTGTTTTGCGTGTCTATTTGCGTCTGGAAGTGGGCCGTGGGGGTCGGAGACAGGATGCGCGTCTGGTGGGTGTGCGGGTGCGTGGCAGCCTGGCAGAGAGCTTCGCGGATCTGAAGGTTGAGCTCCATGAGGCGCGCGCTGGCCTGAGAAAGATCCCTGCTGGGGCCCACCACGGCCAAACAACCCGTCTGACCGAGAGTCTGGTGCCTAAAGTAAATGTGCAGCAGCGTCTGCACCGCATCATCCCTCTCGCTGCCAAATATGTCATTAGGCCACAGGCACCTGAGGGAATGGAGGGAATAGGAACATATCAGATTTAGGCAAAAGAGATTTACATAGATCCTAACTAGACATGATGTGATACATGTTTCCAGTGACAAGCAATTTGTCTGTCAATTCTGAAATCGGCCAATCAGAATTTATATAGGGCCAGATTTACTAAAAGCTTGTGCTAGTGCAAATCGTCTTTAAAATATTACTGTCAGGATTTACTAAAAACGCGCCATGAAGAATTAGTGCTGAAAAGGTGTGGACAGTTATTTTTGCACCTGACCTTATTGAATATGCATTTGTAGGAGTTTCCCTTTCAGATGCAAAATTTATGGGATGAGAGAATTCAAATAAATCACACAACGTGATTTACTAACGTTTGCGCTTGTCAAATTACCGGTATTTGTGCCATTATTTAACGCCCAAAAAAGCACGTCTTAAACTATTCTGCACTTGAAATGGCTGCATTTGTTATTGCTAGGAGAAGGCACCGCAGAGAACAGACAGCGCGTGGTAGAAGGGAGAGGATTTTTTCCACTCATATTAAAGGGTTAGGTTCACCCCAAAATGAATATTCTGTCATTAATTACTCACCTTCGTGTCGTTCCAAACCCGTGAGACCTTTGTTTCTTTGGCGCAAAGAAAACAAAAATAACAATTTATTCAACAATTCTTCTCCCCCGAGTTATGTCCTCCGCCATTTTGGAGAGTACTCAAGAACATAATGTAATCAGCGTTGTTTACGTTGGAGGGGAAAGCGTGCACATGAACGTAATCAGCGGTTTTTACACTTAGGGAAAACCGTGTAAATGGCGGAAGACGGTAACTCAGGGGAGAAGAATTGTTGAATAAAGTCGTTAATTTTGTTTTCTTTACACACAAAAACTATTTTCATAGCTTCGCAAAATTGAAGTTGAGCCACTGATGTCACATGGACTGTTTTACCGATGTCCTTACTACCTTTCTGGACCTGGGAACATTACAGTTGTGTTGCTGTCTATGGAGGGTCAGAGAGCTCAATTTTCATTTTCAGGTGAACTTTGGAATGCCAGAAGAACACATTATCCGAATCCGAACATATCCTTACGCTAATTTGCGCTGCGCTTGGTAGATTGCGTTGGTCATTATGGAAATTAGATGTTGCGACTGTGTTCTTTAATTTGTTTGTTGTCAGTAAATCACCCGCAGAAATTTCCACGCCCATCTGCACTGTTTTGCAATTGCGCTCTCGGGCTAATTTGCCCTGTTTATCAACACTTTAGTAAAACTTAATGTAAAATACACACAAAATAATATGTAGAATGACATTTTTTTTTAAAGTATAGGACAGTGTAGAGGGAACAGGAAGCGAAGTG